CCGGCCACTGCAGCCTTGACCTGCTGGGCTCCAGCGATCCTTCCGCCTCAACCTTCCAAGTAGCTGGAACTACAGGCACCTGCTACCACACCCAGCTAATTTTTGATTTATTGTAGAGATGAGGTCTTGCCAAGTTGCCCAAGCGGATCTCGAACCCGTGGGCTCAGGCAGTCCACTCAATCTCAGTCTCCCAAAGGTGTGGGATTACAGGCTGAGCCACCGAGCCCAACTCTCTACAGTAAATTTTAAGAAAATTAGGCAGGTATGGTTAGCGCACACTTGTAGTTCTGGCTACTTGGAAGGCTGAGGCGGAAGGATTGCTGGAGCCCAGCAGGTCATTGCTGGGGTGGCCATGAGCATGCCACTGCACTCCAGCCTGGGCAGTGGAGTGAGACTCCAACTCAAAAAAAAAAAAAAAATTTTTTCACTGAAGCCAAACACAACCTCTCATGAAGATGCTAGCTGGTACACTGATGTTGATGAGTTCCTAGAACACTTACCTAGCAAAGGAAGCCTGTACTCCAAGGGCGTGCCATCTAAAAAATAATTCCGGTTTTTTGGAATTCCCCTTTGTATATTAAAGGGTTTGACTAGATTGATCTCTTAGGCTGCCCTAAGTCATTGAATTCATATATGCCATTTAAGTTAATTGTGTGTGTTCTTCTTTTTCTCATAGAGTTGTTTTTAATACTAGAACATAGTAAGATGTATTTTTTTCCAAATTTAGGATCACATTTTATTTTTCACAGAAGCCATGTCCAGATTTAGTTGTACATATGCAATCTTAGACTGCACCCCCAATCATAAACTACAAGGTTTTATAATGCTAATTGGTAAAATGTGGTATTCACAACAATTAAGAATGAATTCATTGATGGTCCACATAATATTTTCATGGCACATAAAACTTTATTCTGTATTACTGAATTTGTCAGAATTCAAATGAATAGATCATCATAATGACAGTGGCTCAATTTTTAGACCTGGTGTTCAAAATAATTTGTCATCTGGCATGTACCTTTTTTTAGATGGTGATATACTTCCCTGTTTTTCTTTTTAAAATTTCAGTGTATGGTTATAATCATAAAGATGGAAATCTGAAATATTGCCAAAGAAAAGCAAATTCTTAATGGCAACTCTGATCCTCTTTAGATTCAGTGGGGGTAAAGGGAAGGATTCTTAGTCCAATAAAAAATAAGATATTTTACCTCTTAACTCCTCAGGGAATAAATGTGGATATTTATTTAGATATTATGATTATTATTACAGATATTATGGATTTCAGAGAAGGATTTTGGGAAGGGAATAGTTTCCACAGTCAGGGGATTATAGCAGTTATAATTGAGTGGAGTCTGCTGGAATGTGTCCATCCCTTTAGAATGCCAGCACAATCCAGGGGGTCTACTTTTGGAGGAATTTAGTAAGTATAGTCATGCTTCTCATTAAAAGTGGTGGACTTGACTCCTATGCACAGGTAATTCATGAGTACTTGTACATAACCTCTTTAAAATGCCATTCAAACACTTATTTTCAAACATAGCTTTTGTTCTTAAAATCCAACTGCTGCATTAAGGTTGCATAGCCTCAGATTTCCTTTAATTTTAAGTACTAAAACAGTTCAGCTAAATTAGGGTGCAGTCTGTTGGCCAAAGGGATAATGCCATGTTGCAAAGTAAAATTTTTTTCTGTTGGAGAGAGTGCCAAAAAAGGGTTGTCTCAGAGTTTCTTATAGACACACTGTTAATATATGATTTTTCTTCTCTAAGACCTTGCTCCGAGAAGGATGTATTTTTTTAAATGGAAATTTTAGAGGCTTATGAAGCAAAGTGAAAAATTTAAGTCAACCTACTCTTAAATTTGTTAAAAAGAAATCTGTCATCATGCTTGACTTATTATTGACTTATACGCTATACTTGTTCTTTTGACTTAACAGCATCTCTCAGCAGCTTGCTTATCACTCCATTTCCTTCCCCAAACTCTTCACTTACCCGAAGTTGTGCCAGCAGCTACCAGCGACGTTGGCGACGCAGTCAAACAACAAGTTTGGAAAATGGGGTATTTCCTAGATGGTAAGTTGGAACTTTAAACGTAGAACAAGATTGAATGGTTCCTTAAACACAGTTTTATATGGGTTTTTTAAAACTTGGACCTGTGTTTTGTGAATTTTAAATCTAGAACTGAAAACTTTAAAAATATGTTACTTATTTTTATTGTGGTAAGTTATACATAGCGACTTACCATCTTAACCATTTTAAGTGTACAGTGTAATGGCATTAAGTATTTTCATATTATTGTATAACTATCATCACTATCTAACTTCAGAACTTTTTCATCTTTCCAACTGAAACTGTGTATCCAATAAACAGTAGCTTCCCATTTTTCCTTCTCTTGCTCCATGCAGCCACCATTCTGTTTTTTGTCTCTTATGAATTTACTTGCTCTAGGTACATTGTATGAGTGGAATCATATTAGTACTTGTCCTTTTGTGACTGCCTTGTTTCACTTAGCATAATGTTTTCAAAGTTCATTGATGATGTAGCGTGTGTCAGAAATTCATTCCTTTTTACTGTTGAACAACATTCCATTGTATATTCGTACCACATTATGTTTATCCATTCATCTGTCAATGAACATTTAGGTTGTACCCACCTTTTGGCTATTATGAATAATGCTACTATGAACATGGTGTACAAATATGCATTTGAGTCCCTTTTTCCAATTCTTTTTGGGTAAATACTCAGAAGTGGAATTGCTAAAGTATGCGGTAATTCTATTTTTAATTATTTGCGGAACTGCCACACTGTTTCCACAGTGGCTGTACCACTTTACATTTCCACCAGCCATGTACAAGTTTTCCAGTTTCTCCACGTGCTTACCAATCCTTATTTTCTTTTTTGAGGGTGTGGGGGGAGGGTACTCTTAATGAATCTGAAGTGCTTTCTCATTGCGGTTTTGATTTGCATTTCCCCAATATTTAATGAATTCAAGCATTTTTTCCTGTGCTTTTTGGCTATTTGAATATCTTTTTTGGGAAAAAATGTCTATTCAAGTCCTTTGCCCATTTTTAAATTGAGTTTGTTTGATATGTTGGTAATTTTTGTGGAAGTTCATCATGGTTTTTGATTTTAATCTCTTAGCAGATAAATTATCTGCAAATATTTTCTTCCAGTCTGTGGGTTGCCTTTTTACTCTGTTGATAGTGTCCATTTCCAAATTCAATATCTTGAAGCTTTTACCCTATGTTTTCTTTTTATGAATTTTTAAGAGTTTTATGTTTAGTCTTTGATCCATGTACTACATGTTTTGATATTTGCTTCTCATTTTTTAAACAAATTAATTCATTCTTGAAAGATCTCGTTTTAGTCTACATTAAGTATAACTGTAGATGATGAAATTTCTTGTTTTCTCTCTTATTTATTCCCTTTATTCCTTCATCTTTTACTTTACTTTTGGAATCAAAAGGAGAAACAAGTAGATCCTAGAACAGGGAAGAGATTATACCAGACTCATCTATAAACCTTAAAATTTAGACATTTTAAAGCTGATTGTGAATTGGAATTATCGACTTCTTTAGTGGCTTTTAATTGAACTAAAATATTCCCAAACTGATTCCTGGTAAAATTTATTATTTAAAAAAGTTAACATGAAAGAATAGCCAGTAGATTTCTCAAAGAGATACACGGTTGATATGAAATTTTTAGATTTATTTGATAAAACAGCAAAAGACCTTTAGCATGCCTACATTTAATTAGCAAGAGGATTGAATTGCAAACTTAATTATTTTTATTTTTTTAAATAAAAAAATTTGTTTTTAAGGTCTATAGAAGAAAGCTTTAATCTGTCAGATGAAAGCTGTGGCCCTAACCCAGGAATTGTGAGGAAAAAGAAGATTGCAATTGGGGTAATCTTTTCATTATCCAAAGATGAAGATGAAAATAACAAATTTAATGAATTCTTTTTTTCACATTTTCCTCTCTTTGAAAGCCACATGAACAAATTAAAGAGTGCAATAGAACAGGTAAGCATAGTTATTTATTTACATTTTTTCCTTTTGCTCTTTGAATCTTATTCTCCTAATTAAGCATTGTGTTTATTCTTTTGACAGAAGTATTAACAGACATTGTTCAGGTGTCCTACAGAGTACTCTGGGAGATGCAAAGAGATTTAACCCTTTTTAAGTTGCTTGATGTCTAATAAAAGATCTAAAGTTATTTATTCTGTAGATGAATGTTTATAAATAAATATCTATAAATAAATATTTGAGGGCCCAAAATGTGGTAGGCACCATTCTTCCAACTGAGGAGAAGTGAAAAAAGTAACACTCCTGACCTTATATCTTATGGGATAGCAGATAAACAAATGAATGTAAATATATTTAATAGGAGCTTTGGTGAAAAATAAACCAGAGAATGATATACTAGAACTTCTGGAAGGAAGAATTACTCATTTTTGTAGGCTAGTCAGGAAGTCCCCTGATAAAATTAATATATGGTGTGAAGATATGGAGAAAGTGAACTGCAACTCTCTGGAATAAGATGTTCCAGAAAGAGGCAGAGGCTTTATGGCAAGAGTAAACCTGATGCTTCAGCAGCATCAAGGAGGCCAAAGTGACTGAGTTGAAGTGAGACCAGGTCAAGTAGGACCTTGTTGGATACCATTGAAAGAGCACAGTCATTTATTCCTAAGAAAGATGGGAAACCGTTGGAGGGTTTTGAGTGTAGGAATGACATTAATTATGAGAATCACTTTACTGCTGGTGGAAAATAGATTTCTAGGAGCAAAAAAGTAGATGATGTGGAACCAGTTAGGATGCTGTTGAAATAATCCCATTGAGAGATGGTGAATATGCATACCAATTTAGTGATTTAATTGGGTGAGAAGTGGCTGCTTCTAGTTATATTTTGAAAATAGCCGGACTCGGTGGCTCAGCCTGTAATCCCGCGCCTTTGGGAGGCTGAGGTGAGTGGATTGCCTGAGCCCGCAAGTTTGAGACCTGCCTTGGCAGCGAGACCTCATCTCTACAATAAATCAAAAAAATCAGCCGGGCGTGGTAGCGCATGCCTGTAATTCCGGCTATTTGGAAGGCTGAGGCGGAAGGATCGCTGGAGCCCAGCAGGTCGAGGCTGCAATGGCCGGGAGCGGCCACTGCACTCCAGTCTGGGCGACAGAGTGAGACTCCAACTCAAAAATGAAAAAAAGAAAATAGAGCCAGTGTCAATAGTTGATTAACCGAATTGGGGTATGAAAGAAAGAACAATTGAGGTTGGCTCTAAGATTTTTCATCAAGTAGTTAGAAGAATGAGTTTGCCCGTATTGAGATGGGAAAACTGCAGATGAAAGAGGTATGATAAAAGAAGATTAGGAGTCTTCTTGATTTGCCTCCTGGACATCCAGGTGTTTTTATGAGTCTAGAGTTTAGGTGAGAGGTAATCAGTATTTAGATGGTAATATTTAAAACCATGAAACTGAGACAGGGAAGAGAAGAGAGGAAATCCTAGGCCCAAGTCGTGTTTCAACATTTAGAGTTTGAGATGAGAAGGAACCAGCAGTGGAAATAAAAAATGATTGGCTATTCAATTAGCAGGAAAAAACGACAAAGTACTTCTGGGGGAACCAAATGAATAAAGTGTTTCAAGGAAGGAGTGATCAATTGTGTCAAACACTGTGATGATAGTATATATAACAAGTAAATACAGTAAGAAAATTGTGAAATACTTGATGGAACCTAAGTATAACTAAAAAAGGACAAGCAAAGTTTTTTTTGGAGTTCAGAGGAAAGTAAAATGATTTCCTATTGGGAAGAAGTTTCATTTGAACTGCATGTTGAATGATGTGCAGGATTTCTTTTGAACATAAAGCTCTAAAAATTGAGTAGAGCAGAGTTACAAAAATTTTGGCACCCACAGGGAATGCATTAACTCATTGCAGAAAGTCTTATTTAGGTTTTTTCTTTTCTTAGGCAGGATTTATTTAGAGGACAGAAAAGCTCCCACAGTGGAAGTGGACCCAGATGGGTTGCCCTATTTAGGTCTATTGTATTTGGTAGAAATTGTACTGTTTTCATATTTTTCAAATTATATGCCAGTTTTTTTTGTTTTGTTTTGTTTGTTTTTTTTGAGTTGGAGTCTCACACTGTCGCCCAGACTGGAGTGTAGTGGCCACTCCCGGCCACCGCAGCATCGACCTGCTGGGCTGCGGCGATCCTTCCGCCACAGCCTTCCCAGTAGCCGGAATTACAGGCATGCGCTACCACATCCGGCTCATTTTTTGATTTATTGTAGAGATGAGGTCTCGCTGCCCAGGCAGGTCTCAAACTCGCGGGCTCAGGCAATCCACTCACCTCAGCCTCCCAAAGGCGTGGGATTACAGGCTGAGCCACCGAGCCTGGCTATATGCCAGTTTTTAAAAACTCATAATTGTGACATACATATTTTTCATTTTCCTGTAAATAGCTCTTAAACATAATTTTAGTGAGTTTCCTCAATTTAAGTAATCATTTCTTTAAGAACCCATTTCTTCTTTTTCACCATTGTTGCTACCTTATAGTTAACATCTTGGTGAATTTTCCAGATTATTTTTTAGAAGAGATTGCCAGAAATTGAACAAATGAAACCAGTGTCTATAACCAAAATTCTTAACTCCTGTGACAGTATGTGGAAGAGAAGGGATATGAAGAGGAGTAGCAAGTGGTACGACCAATTAGAATGGTTTAGAAAGCAGGGGATGCATCTCAGTAACTCAGTAGCGACTAATCTGCCTCTAGAGTAGATGCAGATATTAGTTATTCACATTGAATCTGTGAAAAACAAATAATTCATTGACAGTACTTTACTGAACAGATCAGTAATGGCATTTTCATTTACTTTTTTTAAAGTTAGACACTGGTTACATTTCCTTCAGTTGGCTACTATCTCACTTTTTTTTTTTTTTTTTTGAGTTGGAGTCTTACTCCGTCGCCCACACTGGAGTGCAGTGGCACACTCATGGCCCCCGCAGCCTCAACCTGCTGGGCTCCGGAAATCCTTCCCCCTCAGCCTTTCAAGTAGCCAAAACTACAGGCGCACGCTACCACACCCAGCTAGTTTTTAATTTATTGTAGAGATGAGGTCTCGCCAAGTTGCCCAGGCGGATCTCGAACCCATGGGCTCAGGCAGTCCACTCACCTTGGCCTCCTAAAGTGCTGGTATTATAGGCTGAGCCACCGAGCCCAGCCACTATCTCCTTTTTTAGGCTATTCTTGTCAAATCATCACACAAAATAGTTTAGTTGTGGCTGACTTGACATTTTGAGTTATTTGGAAGTATTTCATGCTTTGTATAAAACTTGAAATAGTCAGGCATTGTAGAACTCATTAAAGATTACTTTTTTTTTTTTTTTGAGTTGGAGTCTCACTCTGTCGCCCAGACTGGAGTGCAGTGGCCGCTTCCGGCCACCGCAGCCTCGACCTGCTGGGCTCTGGCAATCCTTCCGCCTCAGCCTTCCGAGTAGCCAGAATTACAGGCATGCGCTGCCACGCCCGGCTGATTTTTTCGATTTATTGTAGAGATAAGGTCTCGCTACCCAGGCGGATCTCGAACCCGCAGGCTCAGGCAATCCACTCACCTCAGCCTCCCAAAGGCACCGAGCCCGGCTAAAGATTACTTTTTAAGTATTTTTATGTTTTAATCATTTGGCTTTTCTGTAACCTGAAATGTACATTGTTATTGCTTATAATTGTTTGGAGATTTGGTCCCGTCTTTTTTTTTTTTTAATTGGATGCTGTCTCAATTTATATATGTCTATTTATCTGCCTATGTGTTTTCAGTTAGATTCTCACTCTGTCACTCAGGATGGAGTGCAGTGGCACGATCATGGCTCACCACTGCCTCCAACTCCTAGACTCAGGCAGTCCTTCTACCCTAGCCCCCCAAGTAGCTGGGACTACAGGTGCAGACCACTGTGGCCGGCTAGTTTCTTTCATTATTTTGTAGAGACAAGGTCTCACTATGTTGTCCAGGCTGGTTTGAACTCCTGAACTTAAGCAATTCTCTCATCTCAGCCTCCCAAAGTGCTGGGATTATAGGCATGAGCCACCCTTCTCCAGTTAGTATCCCGTTTATTAAAGCAGAAAGGTAAAACTGAATGACTCTTTTACATAAGTGAATGGGAATTAGTTAAATTTCTATAGAAGTTTATTAATGATAGAATATAGTAAATATTGGGCTGTCCAAAGAAGTTATCTTCTAGAGATAGTTTTTTTTTAACTATTCATTTTTTTTTAAAGTAATAATAAGAGGTATGATTTTGTTTCTGTGCATCATGGCAATTATTTTGAAGTCTGCTACCATTTGAGATCTAGAATTTAATTTAAAAATATTGCTGATGAGAGTAAGGAGTAACGCTGCTCAGTTCTAGCAAAAGAATGTTCACTTCTTACAAAAAACTGAATACTACATAGTCTCACTCATAAGTGAATACTAAACACTAGGCGTCCCCGGTGTAAGGATAGGAACAGCAGACACTGGTCATTGCTAGAGGCGGGATAAGGAATCCAAAACCAACCACTGGGTGCCATGCTCATTACTGGGGTGAGGAGAGGCTTGTTAGAAGCCCAAACCTCGCCTTTATATAATATACCTGTGAAACAAATCCTCATATGTACCCTATACTTCTAAAATTAAAAAAAAAAGAATATTCACTTCTTTATAATTGCCAGTCTCTGAACAGTTTGGATAAAGTTCATTTCAGTTCCACCCTTTGTAGCTTTCCCTTTGTAGCTTTTGGATGTATAGGAACATGATTTCTTACCTGAAGTAGTCTGACCTTCTCTTAAAGATATGTTTGTTAAACAATGTTTAATCACTTTGTAGTTACATAAGGAATACAGAATTAAATTCTCTTTGAAAAATCTAAGCCGGGCTCGGTGGCTCAGCCTGTAATCCCGTGCCTTTGGGAGGCTGAGGTGAGTGGATTGCCTGAGCCCCCGGGTTCAAGACCCGCCTGGGCAGCGAGACCTCATCTCTACAATAAATCAAAAAATCAGCCGGGCGTGGTAGCGCATGCCTGTAATTCCAGCTACTTGGAAGGCTGAGGCGGAAGAATCGCTGGAGCCCAGCAAGTTGAGGCTGCGGTGGCCGGGAGCGGCCACTGCACTCCAGTCTGGGCGACAGAGTGAGACTCGGACTCAAAAAAAAAAAGAAAAGTCTAGAAGATTATAGAAAAAATTCCTTTTGACCTCCGTGTCCTCATCCTGATCTCCTTTTTGTGTACATAGATCTAGGCTTTTCAACCTCAGCTAAATACATTTCAAAAAATAAAAAAATAAAAAAATAAAAAAAAAATATATATTTTGAATTGGATTCTCACTCCATTGCCCAGGCTGGAGCGCAGTGGCATGCTCATGGCCACCCCAGTGTTGACCAGCTGGGTTCAGGCGCTCTTTCCACCCCAGCCTTCCAAGTACAGGCGTGCACTACCACACCCAGCTAATTTTTTTATTTATTGTAGAGATGAAGTCTCACCAAGTTGACTAGGCTGTTCTCAAACCCATGGACTCAGGCAGTCCTCTCACCTTGACCTCCCAAAGTGTTGGGATTACAGGCTTGAGCCACTATGCCCAGCCAAATATATTTTTAAGAAAACAAATATTACCAATAACTTGAAGAATCCTTTCTTTCAAAGAATCTTTATAGTCTAGATTTTTTAAAATGTTAACAGAAGCATTATCTATGAAATATAAAAGTAAAACAATGAGCTATTGCTGTTGAGTTATGATGTCTTGTTCTGTTTGGGGAAAAAAGTTTGTTGTCACACAGAAACTGTTAACGTCAGTTTCTTTGTGTGTTGCCATTTACAATAAGAGATTGAACAGTTGAAAATTGAATTTTGTTCAATTGTTTATGAACAAACATGCAAAAGAGAAAGCCCCACTGTAAATGTAACTACTTCATTTAATCCTAGATAAGAATGTAGGTAAGAGTATTGTGTAAATATGTGACTTTGTCTTTTTTTCTCTTTTTTCATGTTTTGGCCATGATTAGCATAAGAATTAACTATTTAATGATTGTTTTCAAGGCTATGAAAATGAGCCGGAGATCAGCTGATGCCAGTCAGAGGAGTTTGGCATATAATCGAATAGTTGATGCACTAAATGAATTCAGGTACCTATTCCCCAGCTTTCCATGATACAGTTATTTCACAGTATACGCAAGGAAGATTGATTCTTTAACTAGCTCTTATAAAATTTAATTATTTAAACTTCTTTGTTCTGTATTCAAATAAAGTTATAATTTAGTAGACCATTGGCTCCTGTGTTAGTTGATCTCAAATGTGCTTGGGATTCAGCTGCATTTGGGAGCCATCAGTGGTATGGTTTTCAGTATTGGGCCATTTGACAAAAATATGACCAGACAAGACTCTTGTTTCAGTAGAAGTATGCTTCTTGGGTTCCTGTGTGTAGGGACTATTAAAGTGTTATTTAACCAGCAGTAGTTATCAAATGTTCTTGGATACATGGAATATGAGGATAGATGGACATAAGGAACATGAACTTGATGTTTCAAATGCCCACTGCTTGTTCCTTTCGGTATGGCATAGTGAACAGTCCTTCTGCCAGTATTTTCTGTCTTAATAAAGCTTGAGCCTGAGCTCCAATAACTAATGTAATTGTTTTCTAACTATGTGGTAAGCAGGCACATTGCAAATGATCTTATGCTGAGAATCATACTTAACGGGGCTGATATGTGTCTACCTTGAAGAGATTCTGTTTGTTTACTTCATTCTCACTCTTTCCTTTTTTAGATTGGAGAGATAGTATAGCATAGAAAGTGAGAGCTAAGAATCCAACAGCTAGACTTGTGTTCTAACCCTAGCACTGCCACTTACTACCTCTGGTGACCTTAGTCAGGTCTGTTACCATTTTGACCCCTGGTTTTCTAGTTTAAAATATATACATTTCATTTATTAATAACCTAATAGATTGTTGTAAGGATTGCATGAAGTAGCATATGTAAGATACTTAGCAGAATGCTTGACGTTAGTGGCAGATATAACCTATAGCATTGCTTCTCCAACGTTAACCATTCATGTTCTACTTTAACAATTTTGCCAAATCTACATGGCATCTATGCCATTTTAATTTAATGTTTCTCTTGAAACTGACTATCGTTTATGCCTAAATAAATGTATTTCAACATGAAACCTTATTACCCTAGATGGGGAAGCAATATTCTTTGCTGTAATAAGCTAGCTATAACAATAAACTTATAGTAACTGAAATTAAAAATATGTGTCTGTGTACCATGCTGTTTACCACTGTATATGGTTTATTATCACCAGTAGTCCACATACCTGACTTTTAGAAACTGAAAGCAGCCAGGCTCGGTGGCTCAGCCTGTAATCCCGCACCTTTGGGAGGCTGAGGTGAGTGGATTGCATGAGCCCGCGGGTTCAAGACCCGCCTGGGCAGCAAGACCTCATCTCTATAATAAATCAAAAAATCAGCCGGGTGTGGTAGCGCGTGCCTGTAATTCTGGCTACTCGGAAAGCTGAGGCGGAAGGATGGCCGGAGCCCAGCAGGTCGAGGCTGCGGTGGCCAGGAGCAGCCACTGCACTCCAGTCTGTGCGACAGAGTGAGACTCCAACTCAAAAAAAAAAAGAAACTGAAAGTGTATTTTTTTTTTAATTGACAACTGTATAGTCTCTTATTGGGGCAGGGATCTTCTGGATTGTTTGTTTAAAACAGTGGTTCCCAACCCCTGGGCCGTGTACCAATACCATTCCATGGCCTGTTAGAAACCAGGCCACACAGCGGGAGGTGAGTGGCAGGCAAGCATGCAAAGCTTCATCTGTATTTATAGCCACTCTCCATTGCTTGCATTACTGCCTGAACTCCACTTCTGTCAGACCAGGGGTGGCATTAGATTCTCATAGGGGTGCAAATCCTATTGTGAACTGCACGTGTGAGGAATCTAGATTGTGTGCTCCTTCTGAGAATCTTATGCCTGATGATCTGAGGTGGAGTTGAGGTGGTAATACTGGTACTGGGGAGCGACTGCAAATACAGATTAACATTAGCAGTAAGGTTTGATGGCAAGGAGACCATAATAAATCAATTGCTTACAGACTCATATCAGAAGAATAATTTCATAATAAAATAATTATTTCATTATGTTTCCCATTGTAGTAATAATAGAAATTAAAATTTTGAGCATAATAAATAAAATGTGCTTGAATCATCCTGAAACCATCCTCTTGCCCCCCCCAGTCCATGGAAAAATTATCTTTCACGAAACTAGTCCCTGCTGCCAGAAAGGTTGGGGACCACTGGTTTAAATGGGCCATCACATTTTGGAGTGAGAGGCTGTTTTAGCTTATGATAAGGCAGGGTGAAACTGTAGGCATGCCAGGTATATATAACTTTTTAAAAATGGAGCTAAGGAGTGATGGCTCAGGTGATCCTGAGTAACTGGGACTACAGGTGTGCACCACCATACCCAGCTAATTTTTTTTTTGAGTTGGAGTTGTACTGTCGCCCAGGCTGAAGTGCAGTGGCATGCTCACAGCCACCCCACCATCGACCTGCTGGGCTCAGGTGATCCTTCCACCTCAACCTTCCAAGTAGCTGGAACTACAGGCACAGGCCACCACACCCAGCTAATTTTTTGATATATTGTAGAGATGAGGTCTCATCAAGTTGCCCAGACTGATCTCAAACCCCTGGACTCAGGCTCTTCTGTCTCCTTGACCTCCCAAAGTGCTAGAGTTACAGGTTTGAGCCACCGTACCCAGCCGTGATAATTTTTTATGGTTTAAATTTTTTAGTTAGCTTTGGAATTATTATAAATATGTTTCAAGAATCCTTTTTGTTTGCCTAAGATAATCCTTCTGGATTCTTTTTGAATGTCACATTTTGCATTATTGCAGGGCAATGAATCTTTGTCATTGGACTTGGAGCTGTTAGTTACACTTGGATTAGCAGCTTCTTTTCTGTAGTCATAAGCTTTGTGGCAAGAGGCCAAGAATCTCTAATGGACTCTGAGGAAACAGAGTCCATTTTGTGGCAAGAGGCCAAGAGTCTCTAATGGACTCTGAGGAAACAGAGTCAGTTGGGTCTATAATGTCATTATAGACCCAACTGAGGTTACCAGAATAGTAAATATGGTCATAAGACTCCTTCCTAACAGGAATACTGATCTTGTGCTTAGGTTATAAACAAATTTTTTTATTTTAGAAGATTTTAATTAAATACCTCTGGTATTGGATAGTACAGATGACCTAGACTTAAAACTTCAAGATTGCCTGCAATTTATAACATGTGTGAGTTATAAAATCATTGAATGCATATGTCATAATTATATGCCTTTCGGTCTGTATTGTTTGGTCATTTTGTTTCAGTCACTGTGCAGATATGAAAGGTTTGCTAAGTAGTCTTATGATACTTTGAAAGTACTTTATACACTCTTATAATAATTTTTATTAAAAGGTGTACCTGTATAGTACTTTAAGATGTACAGTTGATCCTTAATATTTGTGAGTTTTGTATTTGAGAATTCACCTACTTGCTAAAATTCGTTTATAACCCCAGAATATACTTACATGCTCCTGTGATGATTTGCACACATGCACAGAGCATGAGTCGCTTGGTGTACATGTGTACAGATTAGGTCAAATAGGGTGATGTTCTGTCTTCTTGTTTCAACTCCCATACTGTAAACAAATATCCTTTTTGACATTTATGTAGCACAAATATTTTTTGCATTTCCATAAGTGATTTCAGCACAGTGCTGAAATGTCTAATATTCAGTGCAAGACATTTGGGATATGCCTTACAGAAAAAATATACATACTAGATAAGCTTCATTCAGTCATGATTTATAGTGCTGTTGACCATGAGTTTAATATTAGTGAATCAACAAATATATATTAAATAAGGTGTTTTTATACAGAGACCCACATGAAAACAAGGTTATGACTTGATGGGTTGATGAAAATGTTGTGACCAAAGCTCACAGGAGCCTAACTAATTGTATATTTTCCCTAGGTACAGTGGTTCTGTGTTAGCTAGGTCAGTGCTTAGATGGACTTTATAGAACATAACTTTTTCAAATAATGAAAATAGCCTGTGTAGTCAACCCTCTATATCTGTGGGTTCTATATCTGCAGATTCAACCAGCCTCAGATAAAAATATTTTTTAAAAAATAACAATGCAACAATAAAAATAATGTAAACAATACAGTCTAACAACTATTTACATTGTATTATGCATTGTAGTAATCTGGAGATTGTTTAAAGTATACAGGAGGGTGTACATAGTTTATATGCAAATATTATGCCATTTTATATAGAGAACTTTATCCTCCATGAATTTTAATATCGCTGGAGCTTCTAGAACCAGTTCCCTCAGGATGCTTGAGAAATGACTGTCCTTTTAAATTGAGATTATTAAAAATTAACAGTTACATAATTTTTGAAGTATGTGATTATTTGAGAACAGATGATTAATAAAATTTGAGTAGTTAAGAAGAGGAAGGAAATGATTTACATATATGCAGAAACCCTGAAATCTAGAGAAACAGGAAGCCATTTAGTTAGCATTGCTGCCTGGCAAGGATGAGGTTCTTAGAGTTTTGCTTTATGTGTATCAAAGAAGACTAAATCATGTCCACAGTTCCTTTCCAGCCAAAGGAATCTTTCATTCGTTGGACACAGACTGGAAAAAATAAGGGTACGAATTACTGAAAATACTTGCTTTTCTTACCATTGGATGACAGGGCACAGTCATTAGTGGGGAAGAAAGAAATGATTTCTAGATGTCATTACTTCTAGATTGTTAATGACAACATAGAGTTATATATAGTGAGAAACTCTGCTGTGTAATTTCTTTGCCTTCTTTGCAAACACTGAAGTCATAGCACATATTCCTTTAACACTAAAGCAATAAAGCAAAGGTCCTCAGTGGACCACTAGTGCAGTATTTGTGATCTGGCTCTGTCCCATGGCACATAAACTTGTAGTAGATGGTAGTATGCTAAAGAAACTCATGGAAAACTCTTACGTACCAGCTTATTCACTGATTTATACAGTGTTTCTTTTCATCAAAAAAAGTCCATGTACATGGTTAAGAAACAAACACTTCTGAAAAGTCTAATAAACATAAATGAACCCTATCCTACCTCTCTCCCTGTTTTTTCCAGAAACATTTCCCCCTCTTTTTTTTTTTTTTTTTTTTTTTTTTTGGTTGGAGTCTTACTCTGTCGCCCAGGCTGGAGTGCAGCAGCATACTCACGGCCATTGCAGCCTCGACCTGCTGGGCTCAGATGATCCTTTTGCCTCAGCCTTCCAAGTAGCTGGAACTACAGGCATATGCTACCATACTTGGCTCATTTTTTAATTTTAGTGTAGAGATAAGGTCTCATCAAGTTGCCCAGGCTGATCTTGAACCTCTGGGCTTAGGCAATCCTCTTGCCTCGGCCTCCTAAATTGCTGGTATTATAGGCTTGAGCCATCATGCCTGTCCTAACATTCCTTTTTAACTCTTACTTATTTATTATTATCTCTGTATTGTTAAATAGTAGACTTAATGCTGCTATTTCTTGATTCATCCATTTTAGATCATATTTATTTTCAGCCATGATAGATGAATTTACACCTGCCCCTTAGTCCTTTATCCTCTCAGTATTTTAGCACTATCTTATCCTTCAGCTCTGGTTAATTTCCTACTTTCTTTTTTTTTTGTTTGTTTGGTTTTTTTTTGAGTTGGAGTCCCATTCCTTCGCCCAGGCTGGAGTGCAGTGGCACACACGCTCACAGCCACCCCAGCATCAGCCTTCTGAGCTCCAGCGATCCTTCCACCTCAGCCTTCCGAATAGCCGGAACACAGATGCGTGCTCCCACGCCTGGCTGTTTTTTATTGTAGAGATGAGGTCTCGCCAAGTTGCCCAGACTGGTCTCGAACCCACAGGCTCAGGCAATCCACTCGCCTCAGCCTCCCAAAGTGCTGGGAGCCACCAAGTCTGGCCTCCTACTTTCTTTTATAATGTTTTCTTCTGTTTTCTCTCTGGAATCGTTTTTGTTAGAAATTGGCACACCTGGATTGTTCTTCTGTGTTTCTTTTATGTTTTCCTTCTCTTTTTCTGAGTGTATTAGTTGTCTTTCTATGCCTTCTATGATTTTTTTTTCATTTCAAAACATCTTTGATACTTTTTTATTTTCAGATAATCTTTTTCTTTGAAAAATAGATTATCTGCTATATTAAGAATATGCATTAGAGTTTTATTTTAAAAGTCTCTTCTGTCTTGTGCAGTATTTCTGTTTCCTCTGAAGTCATTTTGTATATGTGAGTATGTGTATCTTCTTTCTATTTTTGCCTCTGTCTCTCTCCTTGGAGTCTTTTTGTACATATCATTTTTTTGGTTGCCCACTTGTAGTTGAGAGTAAGATACCAACCAAACTGTAGGTTAGGAGTTCTGTGTGTAATCAGGCATCTGACTGGAGACCTTCACTTTAGGGCAGTGTTTTTCTACCTTTTTTCATTATTGCTCCCTGAAGAAATGTATTTAGACATTATTTTCCTTAATCTTTGTCTCCCCCATATCCTCCATAAATATTTACTACTACAAGATATACTCTGTATCTGATTACATAGTGTGAAAGATACAAACATTAGGAAGGGTTTGGAGGAAGTGATTGCTCTGGACCATTCAGCTGTTTTATGTGCTCTCCTATCTGTAGTCATTCTGTGGGAAAGTGGAGTGGAGGTAGGGGTTTGCCAACCTATATCTTAACTCTTTCATTTATCAAGCATTTGTGGGTCTTGAGCCTTTTCTTGCTTTACTCGGGCAAATTAGCTCATCTTTGTCCATATCTTCTTCTGTGAGACTACAGCCTATGGCTTCCTCTACTTTGTGCTTCAGTCACAATTCTTCCATATGTTTTGTATTCCAGAATTTTATGAAATCACTAATTTTGATTTTTCACTAATGGTTTCTCTGCAATTCTCTTTGTTTGAATAGTTTACCTGTTTTCACATCCTTAAAATGGTGTTCAGTTGTGGCCTCAGAAGTGGAAAGAAGATACACATTTGTGTTCAATTTTTCATCCTATCTGGACATCTTTAAAAAGCCTTAAAAATAAGCATTTTTGTATATTCTTAGTTTGTATTCTAGTCATTTTCTCTATAAAATGCCCCTTTATTTGTTGAAATTCTAAGCAATGATTTTATGTCCTCTAGGAGCTCATTAAAGTGACTTGTTTTTGTTATTTCTATTCATTGTAATATATTGTGTTTGTACTGTTTCAAAATCCAAAGAAATTTGTACAGACAAGAGAATTCTTTCCCCCTTTTTTTGGATCATAGATGTTAGAGAATTATACTAAGGTGGGTATTAGAGTTTGTAGAAATCTTGGAAAACTTTATTTTTAAAATTTTTATTATTATTATATTTTATTTTATTCTTTGAGTCAGGGTCTCGCACTGTCACCTAAGCTGGAATGCAGTGGCATGATCATAGCTCACTGCAGTCTTGATCTTCTGGGCTCAGGCGATCCTTCTACCTCAGCTTCCCTTTTTCCCCTAACCCCCGGTATCTGGGACTATAGGCACATGTCACCATACCTGACTCAATTTTTTTTTTATTTGTAGCGATGAGGTCTCACCATGTTGCCTAGGCTGGTCTTGAACTACTGGTCTCAAGCCCGCGGGCTCAGGCAATCCACTCACGTCAGCCTCCCAAAGGCGCAGGATTACAGGCTGAGCCACCGAGCCCAGCTCCTCTCAGAACTTTCTAGAGCAGTATCATTTAGTGCAGTCTGAGCTGAGCCATCAGCAACATGTGGCTAACTTAATTAAAATTAAAGAAAATAAAAGTTCAACTCATTTGTACTGGTCACATTTCAAGTATTCACTAACTATGTATGGCTAGTGGCTACCTTATTGGACAGTGCAGATATAGAACATTCCCATCATTGCCAAAAGTTCTATTAGACAGCACTGTTCTAAAATTAATAGAGAGTAGGACACCATTCTGTAGTTTCTGCAAGACTGACTAGTTTCTTAAGCCTCAAGATTTGCAGGAGTTGCTTAGTCTAGTGATTATATAGGACTTTGTTGAATAGATATTAACATATAAAGAAATGAATTAACATCTTGAAAGTATGCTCTGAAGCCTTTAGGAGAATACAAGTCACAGGACTAGCTATTGTTTAAATTAAACCAAGAGACAGCCAGGAAAGCACATAACAATTGTGTAATAATTTTTCCTTGTGTTGATTTAAGGAAAAACTGAGAAAGTTGTCATAAAATTTAGCATGCATATATAGTGTTCTCATTGTTCTTAAGAACTTTATTAGAATCTAAGCATGGGCAAAATTATGCAGATAAACTATTGTTTTGAGTGGTAGATGGATAAACCATTACCACATTTAATATATTTTTGTTTTGTATATGTAGTTATTTGCAACATAAATTAATACAACCACTTAGAAAGGTGGGACTGGAAGGGACTTTAGAAATTGCCCAATCATATCCTTTCATTTTACAGGTGGAGGAAACTGATGCTTAAAGCAAAGGAATAATTTACTCTAGGTTACATGGCACTGCTGGGCAGAGTCAGCACCAGAACCATTGTATTTTGAGTTCATGTACAGAACGTTTCCCGTGGTACTATGTTGATGACAAGGACAATCTAGGTGTAAGACCCAAGCTGGCAACATACACTTTATGAGTATGTAACTCTGGGAACTGTAAATTTTATAATGTGTCCTCTTCTTTTTAGAGCAACAATTTGTAATCTTTACACAATGCCACGAATTGGAGAACCTGTCTGGCTTACAATGATGTCGGGGACTCCAGAAAAGAACCAACTTTGCCATCGTTTCATGAAGGAATTCACTTTTCTAATGGAAAATGCTTCCAAAAATCAGTATGGCTTTATTTATTTGTTTATATATCATTTCCTATAACTAGATATCTAGAGTATAACCAAACACAATTACAAATATGGAAGACTTAATCATTACCTTTGGAATTATTTTATATTATTAATAATCTAAATAGAATTCTAAAAGATAATTAAATAATAGAGTAAGAAGAATATCACAGAACCTTATGAATGAAAAGTAGTAAAAATGTCTTTTATGTGTTAAATTAAAATTCCTGACATCTTACAGAACTCTTTGAGACTTCCCATTTTTTGTGAATTTTATCTAGTTATGATAGTTTCATTTCATAGGAAAGAGGTAGAAAACATAATATAAGGAAGTGCTAAGATTCCAATGATACATTTTAATGTGCTATTTTATCATATTGTTTTCTTTTAACTATTAATCAGGTCTTTGGAATCCAGATGAGTAATTCAGATGTTTTTTGTTTCTTTGATGGTAGACAGAGTTTGCTTAATACTTACCTTCATTTTACTATTCAGAAGCTTGGAAATGTAATGACCTTTTGGTTGAATCGTTAATTAACTGTGGGTTAAACATTGAGAAGAATCCATAGTTTTTCAAGTAAAATGTCATTTTTGTTTTGTAATTATGATCTGAAATACAGCGTTGTGAATGTTCCCTTTATTTTAATAAAAAAATTTATTAACTTTCATTTTAATCCTAGAGGTGTATGTGTTCTTTCCTTTCTATTTTCCTTTTTTATGCTCTTTGGCTACATGAGCATATGTAGTCTCCTTGTTTACTCTGTCACTACGTTTTACTTAAGGTTTCATGAAGACAGATTGGAATCTGATAGGGTGTATTTTGTTTTCAGATTCTTGCCAGCTCTCATTACTGCAGTTCTGACCAATCATCTTGCCTGGGTTCCAACAGTCATGCCAAATGGACAACCACCTATAAAAATATTTTTAGAAAAACATTCCTCTCAGAGTGTGGACATGTTGGCAAAGACTCATCCATATAACCCACTTTGGGCACAGCTAGGTACGTAGTCTGAAAACTCTTACACTATGTATTATGTAACTGTTTGTAATTATTTTATAGCAAAAACAAAAAGAAATAAACTGCTTTCTTTTACCTTCTCCATTCCAAAGCATCTCTCCTTTACTTGTCCTTCATGTCTGCTATATTTTCCTTTCCCCTTCTTTTTTTTTTTTTTTGAGTTGGAGTCTCACTCTGTCGCCCAGACTGGAGTGCAGTGGCCGCTCCTGGCCACCGCAGCCTCGACCTGCTGGGCTCCGGCGATCCTTCCACCTCAGCCTTCCGAGTAGCTGGAATTAACAGGCATGCGCTACCACGCCCAGCTGATTTTTTGATTTATTGTAGAGATGAGGTCTCGTTGCCCAGGCGGGTCTCGAACCCGCGGGCTCAGGCAATCCACTCACCTGAGCCTCTCAAAGGCGCAGGATTACAGGCTGAGCCACCGAGCCTGGCTTCCTTTCCCCTTGTTAATGGTTGGTATCGTTACTTATAGATAGAGAACTGCAGGTGGAGCAAGAGGACCAGGCTAATAGCTGCTTTACCAATAATGAGGTTCTTCAGGGTGTCTCTTTTTTTATACTTTGTTTTAGGTACATTACCCAGAAAGAATGAATCAACAAAGTAATCTGTGGTATTTCAAATCTGGTTAAAAGAGAAGCAGTTCGCTGAGGTTTCTATTGTTCTACTTTTGTTTGTTTGCTGAGTTATTTTGAAAAATGTCTCTCTATTGCTAAGCCCCACTAAATAAATGGATAAGTGAATGGTTGATAAGTTCATGGGCATTAAGGAGGCATTGTAGCAGGGTGCTTAAAAGCACTGGCTGTGGAGTCATGCACACCACATTGGAATCACAGTTTTTCTTGTTTGTAAAGTAGGAATAATAATAGGTGGTACATAAAAAGTTGTGAAAATTCAATGAGATAATAAAGTGCTTAGTTAGGACAATGTCTGGTACACGTAGCTACTGATCACTTCCACTATTACTTTGCTTCTATTAGGTGTTGGAAGAAGAGTAAAACAAGAGTAGATTCTTCCCTTAGGTTGTTCTGGTGATTGAGTTTGCCAGGCAGATTGTTATATGACTTATCAATTAATATAACCAAACCTCCCTCCCTATATCTTTCTTCCCTTGCTCCCTTCCACTTTATTGAGTTGTTATTGACATACAGTAAATACATATTCAAAGCATATCATTTGATACATTTTGTATCTTTGTAAATTTATATAAATGTGCCTCTAAAGTCATCACTGCCTTCAAGATGGTGAACATATCCATTACTTCCAAATGTGTCCTCATGCCCTTTTGTAAACCCTCACTCCTCCCCAACCTCACTGTTCTTATTCCCTTGTCCCTAGGCAGTCACTGGTCTGCTTTTTCATGGTAGATTAGTTTTCATTTTCTATAGTTTTTTCATTTTCTATAGTTTTTTATAAATAGAATAATATAATACATTGTTTTTTTGGTCTGACTTCTTTCATTCAACATAATTGAGATTCACCTATGTTGTATGTATTAATAGTTCATTTCTTTTTAATGCTGAATAGTATTCTGTTGTGTGGATGTTAAGTTACCTTTTCTAAAATCAACTAATTTGCTAGTCTTTTTTAATTGGGGCATTTCAAGTCTATTTTTAATTTTATAATCATTTGAGTGTATAATATATCTAAGGCTCTACAAAAAACATAGAGGGTATAAAGATGAATGATTTGGTCCTTGCTGTCAAAAAGTTGACAGTCTATAATACTGTAGGCTATAAGTGGATGATAATGATTTTATATATATATAAATGGTAATCCAAAGAGGAACTGTAAGAGAAATAAAAAATTCAGAGGGCATTCCATAAGGGGAGCTTACTTTTGCCTAAGTGAGGATGCTTGGGTGAGAAGCTTTGGACTAGCAGAGATACAGAGGGAAGGGAGAGTAGATCATGTGGGTAAAGAGTTCAGGTGTTAAAAGTGCAGAGCATATTCAGTGGTCCAGTTTAGGTAATCTAGTTTAAGTGAGGTTTTGGGTGAATAAAGATGAAGGTTGTGTACAACTATGATAAGATAAAGCTGAAAAAAAGTAAAGTGGAACCAGTCTTAAAAGACCCACTTGCCATGCCAAAGCAATTTCAATTCAAAAGCAAATTCAAGGAGTGGATATTTGGGGAGTAGTTTAGAACAGTGGCATGGTGATATTTTAGCCAGTGTCTTAGCTAGAGGAGAAAATTTATCATAATACTGTCTACAGCACATGTTTATTTGAGACCTATTTATGTTCCTTTTAAAATATGAGGGTTTTATAAAGTAAAAAGTAGAGGTTTTAAATGTGTATACTGATAACTTGCAAAGATTGGATTACATTTAAATTAGTGGCTTTGTATTCTCCATTTTTAAGTTGTTTTGACACTCAAATTACTGCTTTGAGCTGTAGCATAAATATAGAAATTAAATAGATTATTCCTAGTCTTCCTCATCCTTTTAATATAATGACTGCATGTCCAGTATGGATAAAAAAGAGAAAATGAACTGCATAACTAAACTTGTTGCCCTTTCTCTTCCTCTTAGTAAGATGAGTCTCTCTCTTCCTACTCCTTTTGGCCTACTCTGAATATCCAACCCTTTAGGGAATGGAAGGGGAAATAGGCTTTTGAAAACGTGGGTGCTGATGTGGTGGGGTCTTGGCTATGGCAGCAACAGTTAAAATTCAGAGATATGCTTTAAATCAGGGATAATCAAATGTGTAGTGTGACAACTATGCTCTGCTCCATTTCACCACTACTCCCCCTTCCTTTCCTTGCAAACCAGCAGATATTATGCTTTCTCTTTTCTGTACTGGGTGTTACTACAGAGTCTGTGTACATAGTACTTTTGGCAGTACTTCTTGAGTACTCTGCATGGGGCCTGGGATAGAGAATATACTTGGTATATGTGACTTTCAGAACTGACTCTTTGCTTGAGGTTTCAGAATCACAGCAGGCTTTAAGAAGGAAGCTAGAAAAACCCCTTCCTTATTTTATAAGATGCTCTGAACCCAAAGAAAAACATCTTTTAGAAACCCCTTTCACTCTGGTTAGGACTGTTCATTTTATCCTGCTTTCCTGAATAATCACTCATCTGTTAAAGAACTAATGCTAAAACCTGAACTACCCCTCATACAATAAGAGTGGGTTTCCAATAATTGAAAATAACCTGCTTAGCTGTGGTGAGCAGAGGATATATGTCCATTAACTGTTTTTTCTATTGCAGGAGACTTGTATGGCGCTATTGGCTCTCCTGTACGGTTAGCGAGGACCGTGGTAGTTGGCAAACGACAAGACATGGTCCAGAGGCTACTTTATTTTCTTACTTATTTTATAAGATGCTCTGAACTTCAAGAAACCCATCTTTTAGAAAACGGAGAAGATGAAGCCATCGTTATGCCAGGCACCGTAATTACTACCACTTTAGAGAAAGGTGAAATAGAAGAATCGGAGTATGTGCTTGTCACAATGCATAGAAACAAGAGCAGTTTGCTCTTTAAAGAATCAGAAGAAGTAAGAACTCCTAATTGTAATTGTAAATATTGCAGTCATCCACTCCTTGGGCAAAATATAGAGAATGTTTCACTGCAAGAGAGAGATATTCAAAACAGCTCTAAGGAGCTGCTAGGAATTTCAGATGAGCGCCGAGTGATTTCTCCTTCTGACTGCCAAGAAGAAAATGTTGTTGATGTTAAACAGTACAGAGATAAATTAAGAACTTGCCTTGACACCAAGTTAGAGACAGTTGTTTGCACAGGATCTGCTCCAGTAGACAAACATGCATTGTCAGAGTCAGGCTTAGAGCCAACAGAGAAAACATGGCAGAGTGAGGAATTGCTGGAATCAGATAGTCACACAGGCAAAGCAATGAGATCCACAGGAATAGTTGTGGAAAAAAAACCTCCAGATAAGGTTGTACCTGCTGCATTTTCTTGTGAGGCAGCTCAGACAAAGGTTACTTTCCTGATTGGGGATTCTATGTCACCTGATTCAGATACTGAACTCCGAAGTCAGGCAGTGGTGGATCAGATTACCAGGCATCACACCAAGCCATTGAAGGAGGAAAGAGGGGCTATTGATCAGCGTCAAGAAACTAAACATACAACTAAGGACCAATCTGGAGAGTGTAATACACAGAACATTGTTTCTGGAGATTCTTGTGGACTTCCTTGTTGGAATCATTCAGATCCTGAAAGCATGAGCTTATTTGATGAATATTTTAATGATGATTCAATTGAAACCAGGACTATTGATGATGTTCCAGTTAAAACAAGTACAGACAGTAAAGAACACTGCTGTAGGTTAGAGTTTTCAAAAAGATTGTATGCAAAAAATAACAAACAGAACAATGAATTTTGTAAATGTGTAGAAACAGTTCACCAAGATTCATGTAAAACCTGCTTTCCTCAGCAGGACCAAAGGGTGGCACTCTCCATTCTTGTCCCCCATGGGGATAAAGAGAGTTCAGAGAAAAAAAATGCTGTAGGAACTGAATGGGACATTCCAAGAAATGAAAGTTCAGATAGTGCCCTTGGGGATAGTGAAAGTGAAGATACAGGTCATGATATGACTAGACAAGTCAGCAGTTATTATGGAGGAGAACAAGAAGATTGGGCAGAAGAGGATGAGATACCTTTTCCTGGGTAAGTAGGAAGTTTTCATCTTTAATAGGCCCTACATAAATATGTACCATTCTTTTGTTTATCTGGTTTCTGAAGGTTGGTAGTAACTGATATAAAAGAAAATATCATTGTCCTGGTCAAATCCTCTTTTATTAATCATGTTCTCTTACTCATAGGAAAGATTAAAGGCTAAACCCTACAAAAACCCTAAGAAGACTTTGTAAATGCCTCAGAGAAAAGTTAAAAGATCTGGTTGTAGGAGATTCCCTATTGCCTAGGAGGTTTCAAGCTATTTTGGAGTAAATTGTGCCCCCAAAAAGGACCTTTGCTGAGCCTGGTAGTTAGGGAAAGGTAATCCCTGAGAAAGTAGGAGTCACTGTTAGAAATAGATTTGGCCAAGACTAAGAGGAAAACAGGAGACGTACACTTTGGATCATGTATACAAAGAGAAGTCATGCTTAAGAAATGTTGTACACCCAGCTTTGGACTTGTATTTAGCTACTTTGTTTGGATGGTGGTTTTCATAATCTGATTATATTAAGAACTTGTTAGAAGCACAAGGGATGGGTTTCCTAAAGTCTCCTAAGAAAGATTGATCCTCACTTCATTACAGAGTTGTTTGTCAGACCTTCTCTGGATGAGGAGGAGTATTTTGTGGTCTGATTGAGAGCACTTGAGCCAGTTTTTATATAAGGATAGCTTTATACTGAGTATGTTCTGTAGAATTAATGGTACTGGAAATAAGGACTGGCAGTATTCACAGTGTTTTTTGTTTGTTTGGGGTTTTTTTCCCCCTAGTTATATATATTTATTACTAATTAGGTATGCCTTTGGGGGATTTTTTTTTTCCAGGTCAAAGTTAATTGAAGTGAGTTCGGTTCAGCCTAACATTGCCAACTTTGGGAGGTCTTTGCTGGGTGGCTACTGCTCAACCTATGTGCCTGACTTTGTTCTTCAAGGAATTGGGAGTGATGAGAGGCTCCGTCAGTGTCTGGTGTCAGATTTGTCTCACACTGTGCAGGTGAGTGACCCTCACCTTTCTTGAATTTATTTAGAATGAATTCTGTTAGCCAGAAAAACCCAGAATTACCTTGTATTTTTAATCACTTTCTCCTGTATAACACAGTCATTGTTCTTTGAATCCATTACTTTATACACAGTGCCTATACCATTGTACCTGTCACTGTGGAAGCAAAGTTCCGCGAATCTATTCACATGAAAATCTGAAATACAGAAAATACTTTATATATTCACAGATGTCCATCAACTAGATTATTTATAGTATTGAAAATTTGTTAAGTGCTTAAACATGAATGGAATTATTTTCTTAATCTCCTTTTCAGATGACTTACTGCTTATATATAGAAATACAGTTGACTTTTGTGTATTAATCTTTTATCTTATGGCCTTTCTGAACTTTTATAAGTTCTTATTCGTTTTTTTGTGTAGATTCCTTAGGGTTTTTTATACTAGCCTCATGTTGTCCATGAGCAGTTTTACATCTTCCTTTCCAATCTGGGTTGTCTTTGCCCTACCTGTTTTTTGGGTTTTTTTGGCCTGATTCTACTGGGTAGAACCTTTGGTACAGGTAGCATGGAAATGGTTACCATGAACATCGTTGACTTATTCCTGATCTTAGGGGGGAAATATTGAATCTTTCAATATTAAGTATGGTGTAGGGGTTTTGTAGATGACCTTTATCAGGTGAAGGAAATTCCCTTTCCCTCTTATTCCTAGTCGTGAGAGGGTTTTATTTATTTATTTTTTTCCATCCTTTAAATCACGAGGTATAGCCGGGCTCAGTGGCTCAGCCTGTAATCCCAGTGCTTTGGGAGGCTGAGGTGAGTGGATTGCCTGAGCCCGCGGGTTCGAGACCTGCCCGGGCCAGTTGACGAGACCTCATCTCTACAATAAATCCAAAAAATCAGCCGGGTGTGGTAGCACGCACCTGTAGTTCTGGCTACTTGGAAGGCTGAGGTGGAAAGACCACCAGAGCCCAGTAAGTTGAGACTGCAGTGGCCAGGAGCATGCCACTGCATTCCAGTCGGGGTGACAGAGTGACTCCAACTCAAAAAAATAAATAAATAAATAAATAAATCATGAGGTATGAGATTTTGTCAAATGCTTTTTTAGTGTGTCTATTGAGATGATCATGTAGTTATTCTTCAAACTGTTAATGTCACAGATTTTATTGATTGAGTTTTATATGTTAAATAAACCCTTGTATTCCTAGGAAATAATCCCACTTGGTCATGGTATATAATTTTTTATATGTTGCATGGTATATAATTTTTGTATATGTTATTAGATTTGATTTATTAAATTTTGTTGTAGATTTTGAAGTCTGTATTAATGAGGGATATTGGTCTGTAGTTTTCTTTTTTTGTGATGTCTTTGTCTAGCTTAGATATCAAGGAATACTGGCTCATAGAATGAGTTGGGAAAAGTATTTGATAGAATTCACCAGTGAAGCTGTCTGGGCCCAGGCTTTGTAAAATGAGAATAGTTTAAATTGCAAATGCAATTTATTTACTTTTTGTATATCTACCTAGATTTTTTATTTCTTCCTGAGTCAATTTTGGTAATTTTGTCCTTCTAGGAATTTATTAGTTGCATTTAATTGATCTAATTTATTAGAATACAGTTCTTATAGCATATATTTATAATCCTTTTAATTTCTATAAAGTTGCTAATAATGTCTCCTTTTTTATGTTTCCTTCCCAAATTTTATAATCTGTGTTTTTTATTTGTTGTTTTTCAAAAGATGGGGCTTCTCCAAAGAGGAATTCATTAGTATCTTGACTTAAATTGTAGATATTTTTTGTCCATATGCATCAAGGATTAACAAGCAATAGACAGTGGGTCCTGCTTTTTGTGTATAAAGTTTTATTGGAACACAACCGCAGTCATTCATTTACATATTTTCTGACTATTTTCATGCTTAACAGCAGAATTGAATCATTAGACAGAGGTATTTTTAGTTCCCAAACCCATAAAATATTTTCTGTTTGGCTCTTTATTTAATTTTTTATCTGAGTAGGGGTCTCACTCTGTTGCCCCGGCTGGAGTATAGTGGCACAAGCAGGGCTCACACAGCTTCGACCTCCTGGACTCAGGTGATCCTCCTGTTCTTCCAAGTAGTTGACACTTCAGGTACACACCATCATGCCCAGCTATTTAAAAAAAAATTTTTTTGTAGAGTTGAGCTCTCACTATGTTGCCCAAGTTGATCTCAAACTCCTAGGCTCAAACAATCCTCCCATATTTGGCTCTTTAGAGAAAAATTTTGCTGATTCCCTTTCTAACTGAAAGTTTGTCAGTTGTGTTTATCTTTCCAAAGAAACAACTATTGTTGCTGATTTTCTCTATTTTTTCTGTTTTACTGATATAAATTTTTCTTGATATATTATTCTATTATATGGAATAATCTTTATTATTTCTTTCCTTTTGCTTCCTTTGAATTTTTTAAGGTGGAAGCTTAGGTTATTGATTTATTTCTTCTTTAATACAGATATGTAAAGCTTAACTTTTCCTTTATGCACTGATATAATTGAAGCTGAAAAATTTTGATCTGCTATGTTTTCATTTTAACACATCTAAAAATATTTTTAGGTTTTGCTTGTAATTTATTTGACTCATGGGTTATTTAGAAGTGTGCTGTTTAATTTGCTAATATTTGTGGAATTCTCAAAAAAAATTCGTTGTTGGTTTCTAATTCCATTTTAATTGGAGAAGGTGCTTTGTAACATTTTAGCCTTTTAAAACTTATTGAGACTTATTTTATGGCTAGCATATAGTCAGTCAGTCCTGAACAATGTTCTGTGTGCACTTGAAAAGAATATAGATTCTGGTATTGTTGGGCACAGTGTTCTACAGGTACCAGGTCAAGTTAGATAATGTCCTTATTCAGGTCTTTTATGATCTTGCTCATTTTCTGTTTGGTTCTGTCAATTACTGAGAGTATTTGGGAGGCTAAGGCAGGAAGACCACTTGAGCCTAGAAGTTTGAGATCAGCCTGGGCAACATAGTGAGACTCTGTCTTTATAAAAAAAATCAAAAAATTAGCTAGGCATGGTGGTGCGTGCCTATAGTCCCAGCTTCTTGGGAGGCTGAGGTGTCAGGTTTGCATGAGCATAGGGGTTTGAGGCTGCAGTGAGTTATGATCACACCACCTAACTTCTGGGCGACAGAGTTAAAAAAAAATTGAGAGTGGAGTGTTGAAGTCTCCAACTATTGTTTTGTTGGATTTTGTTTCTCCTTTCAATTGGATGTGTCACTTTAATAATTTTTTAAAACTAACAATGTTTGCCCCCTCCCCAGTTAAAAAGGAAATGGAGAAAGCCAACTGGAAAATAATGGGTGAAAAATATGGCTCAGTTAGCAAGCAATCATTTGTTAGCCAAAAGGTTTAAACCTTCCATGTCTGTAGAAAGTTACCTAGCCGGGCTCGATGGCTCAGCCTGTAATCCCACGCCTTTGGGAGGCTGAGGTGAGTGGA